ATTAATGATTTTCACTGCTTTGTACTTATGTCTATGCAAAAATAGTTCAAACATTGGAAAATAGTTGAAAATTTCACGCACCAGCGCATGAAAACTGAATTCGAAACCTTGAAGGGTGAATACTTTTCCGTGATTCCCGAGTTAATAGTTTACCCGCCAAAATTCTCATGAGGCTGCAGGTGATATTCAAGAGCGAAAAAACGCTGAATTTGAATGGGCAAGACTGAGCGTGGACATGGGGTCATTACCCTAAAATTTCAGCCTCCTAAATTCCGTGGTTCCTGAGATATTAATTTACCCGTAAAAAACTTTCAGGGGGTCGTACGTGTTACTGGTGGGTACGGGGAGGCTGAATTTAAATTTGTCGTGTCAACCGCTGGCGGGGAACAATATACCAAAATTTCAGCCGCTTAGCTTTTGTGGTTCCCGAGTTGAAAGTGCGGGACAAAATGTGGGGGACACACAAGCACACAGACAACCCTGTGACAATATGCGTTTTGTAATGCTGTTACGCAGTACAGAACGCATAAAACCCCCACTGGCTATTTCTTCAGCATTGGATTGGTAACCGGAAGCCGAGGGATTGCCAAGAATTTTAAGTGATCAAAATATGCCGTCAAGTAACAGCTGAGAAAAGGCTTCATGTAAAGGGGCACTTTTCGTCAAAGGTTCTAAATCTTACCGAATTTTTTATCTCATAGTGCTAACCTACGCAATCGCATATCACAGTTCGGACTTTTGTTGAGCTACAGTATATAAAATATCGTAATATAAAGTTATAATAAGGAATGAAATAAAGAGAAAAAAGGAAAAGAAGTGAAAATCAGAAAATTAGAATCATCTCATACTTGTGTATTGTTTTCAGTGATGAATTGCGGCACCGTATCCTGAAGAATATTCAAAAATATGCGCAGCAGATTGTCCTGCGCCAGTGGAAAAGCCGGGCCACTGGATAATTCATCGAAAGTGCTACTTATTTCCTGAAATAAATGAACAATACGAGGATCGATAAAACAATATTAAAAAAAAATTATTAAAATTCCATGTATAGTTAAAATAGAATTATAAACCTGACCAGAATCCATGGTAAAAAAATCCTATTCAAAAAATAAAAAAAAATAAAGAACTAACAGAAACACTTTTTCGGTTTAAATTTTATTTTATTGGAGGGGTTTTTTCATTATTTTTTTTTCTAGTGGCAAGTGGGTTTAGAGGGGGGAGGCGGAGGAGGGGGAGGGAGGGACGGGCAAGGATATCCCATTTAATAATGTTACTGAGAGGCCCCATGCGCCAGACATACCTATGACAGACCCGACGATCCTGAACTGGAAAACCGCCAGCTAAAAAAACCAATATAAAACATCTCTAATTTCTGCTATCTTAAAAAAACATAACTGGCCAGCGCACCGACTGCCGGTGCAAAAACGCGTTTTTTATACAGTTCCTCGCAAATTTTTGTCGCTAACGGCATTTTTTTTCCGGCAGATGCTTCTAGACAAAAGAATTGAATGGAGGTTGGCCACCACGACTGTCAGAAAACGTCCCCTTAAAATTTTAACTTCTTAGCTTTTCTTGTTTCCCAGTTAACAAATCACCTGCCAAAAATTTTCACGAGCTCGTAAGTGAGCACCACGTGAGCACGAGTGTTCATTAGGGGGTTCGTACATGCGTGCAGGCCATGCTGCCAATGTTCCAACTTTGTAGCTTTGGTAGGTCTCGGGATGAAAACTCGGTAAAGACGCACACACAGACATACATACACACCCATACAGACAACTCCTCGACAATATGTGTTTTTGCATTTGCACATATGCCAAAAAA